TGCTGCCTGGACTCCTTCCTTCCACCTGTGTGTTTGCCCTTTATTTACTGACATTTCCTAAAGAATTGATCTCTGTGCCTGGCTTTGGTCACTGTATTTATTCTGCTCACCACAAGTAATTTCTTAGCTAGCAGAGTAATTTTTAAGCTGCCCACAGCCAGTATTTGATTTCTGTGGCACATTATGGGGACTGCAGCAGTGCCACCGATCCCAGAGCCAGCTGTGGGCTGCTAGTGCCACCTGGAGTTGAGCAGCTCCTCCCAAAGCCTGCCAGATCCCACACCCTGGAGCACAGAGCCTGCAGAGCCCCAGCCAGCAGCACAGCTCTGTGCCATGGCTTGAGATGCCATTTCCACACACTGACCCTTGCAAAGGCTCAGCACAGAGAGCCAGCCTGAGCTGGGCACCAGAGCTGCAGGAACCTTGGCCTGAGAAGGGCCAGCAAAAGCCACCAAAGCTTTTAAAAACCTCAACTCCAGGTTGGTGAGCACTTGAAAAGCCCAGCCTTCAGTATTTTTCTGAAGACAGCCTCTTGCCTTCCCTTCCTCACTAAAAGCCACAGGCCAAAGCACAGCTTTAGCTGCAGCACAAAGTCAGAGCACAACAGTTTAAGTGGCTGCTGAAGCCCAGACTATTTCAGATAAGAGTTGTCTCTTAATGCACCACTTGTCTTTGGAGACAAGGAAAACAGAGGTGTCCTGGGCACCCTGGGGCTAAATTGTATCCTTCCTTAACCAGTAAAGGCAGAACCAACTGGACTGCAGCAAAACTGTCCTTGTGGGACAGAATAATTTATCCAATGTCAGCAGGGTCAGCCTTTGGCATCATTAACCCACCCCAGTGTGCTGCCAGGCAGGGAGAGCAGGGATTTGTTTGGTCCTGTTAGAGCAGGAGAGGGCAAAGCAAAGAGCATGGCAGAAGCACAGTGTGAGCAGCTTCAGAAATCCTGGAATCTTGGAATGGTCTGACCTGAAGGGACCTAAATCCCATCCAGTGCCACAATTTCACTGTCCCAGGGTGCCCCAAGCCCCATCCAGCCTGGCCTTGGGCACTGCCAGGGATGCAGGGGCAGCCCCAGCTGCTCTGGGCACCCTGTGCCAGGGCCTGCCCACCCTCACAGGGAACAATTCCTGCCCAATATCCCATCCATGCCTGCCCTCTGGAGCCTCCTCAGCCAACACTCAGCTCTCAGGGCTTTGGGCTCACTGCTCCTGTTCCACTCGTGCCCTGTTGAGGGAAGTGCGTCAGAGCCAACCTGGGGCTGCTGAACAACCCTTGTGACATGCCAGGGCTGATGGAGGTGGTTGGCACTGAGACACATCATGTCTGAGCTCCAAATAGCTCAGGCAGGCAGTGAACAATCCCTCTCCCAGCTGCCAGCATCCAGCAGGATGGTTGGTTTCCCTCAGACCATCGGCGTCAATAAAACATTTGGCAGATGCAGGGGCAGCTGTGACTAATGATGGCACCAACCCCAGCAGAGCACAGAGCCATGGTCAGCCCTGAGTCACGAACAGCCTGACTGCAAGGGACCACAGGGATCATCCAGTGCAGGCCTGGCCCTGCACAGACACCCCAACAATCCCTGGAGCTCCTGGAGCAGCCTCAGGGCTGTGCCCATTGCCTGGGCAGTGCCAGCACCCTCTGGGGAAGAACCTTTCCTGAGATCCAGCCTGACCCTCCCCTGACACACAGAAGGGTGTTTGGGTTTTTTGTTTGTGTTACAGGAAAAGAAAACCCCACTGTATTTTTCTACTTTCATCTTTCCTACTGAAACAGCAGCTCGAGACTCCCTCTAAAGCTCACCAAGGATTTAAATGAGAAATCAGGAACACTGCAAAGGCTCACGAGTCCTCCACCCTGTACCAAATCCTCCTGGCACCCAGGCCAAGCAAAAGCAACTTTCAGCCCAAAAGGGACTGTGTCATAAAGTTACAAGCAACTCCAAAAATGAAATGTGACACTGGGCTGTACTCACCAAGCACCACATGGAAAGCTTGTTTCCATTTCCAGTTTATTTCATTTCCTCCTGGCTGCCCGGGCACACAGAATGGCTGAAGCACCACCAGGAGCACTGCAAACCCAACCAAGAAGCACTGCCAGCCTCTGCCCCAGGGCACTGGCACTCACCCGAGCCTCAGAGCTGTGCTGCTGCTCCAGGCACAGCTGGGCACTGATGGAAAGGGAACTGGGTTGTGTTGCCTCTGGCTGGACTTTCAAAAGCAGCTCTTGCTGAGTATCAAGGTATCTTGCTGGTATCAAGGTATCCTGCAAGCAGGCAGCTCCAAGGGCTCTGCAACCCAATGGAGAGGCTAAATTTAGCCAATATTCAATGCCAGGGCTAAAATAAAAACCTTTGCTTGAGCACTGTTCCCTTTACCTCGAGGAAGGTAAATTGCTTTGATGGTGAATCCACAGTGAGCACTACCATGGTCTGAGGAGATGCTGCTCCAAGGAAAACCTCTGTTATGCAACTGCAGAATCAAAGAACAGCTCTCCCTGACCCACTAATACTCATTTTCTTTCTCTTGGGCTAATTATGCCCTCAGGGATACTCTTGAAAAGACACTGAGCCTGCACCCAAAGAAACCAGTTGGTGCAAAATAAATGAGATAATCTTTTGACTCCACTGCACTCGTTATTTTAGGGGGAATGATGCTGAGGGAAGAAGGGAATTGTTTTATTTTTGTAGCCACAAAAGCCTTCCTGGTGTGTTATTTACAGGAAAAAATGTTATATGACATAAAAAAACCCAATGCAGCTTCCCTTTTTCACAGCTGAGTGACCACTGAAGAATTTGGTGAGCAGCAGAGGAGGGAGAGCTGGGAGAGGCAGCTGGGCTGTGAGGACACAACAGTTTGGAGTCTTTGAAAGTGCTGATTTATGTAAGCAGATCCTACCAGTGGCTCCAATACTGGCACTGCCATGAGCACTGCAGGAAGGGAAAACCTGGACCCACTTATCTGGATAATGAATTCCTGTCCCTGGAGTGTCACAAGGAAATCAGAGCTCTCTGGGGAGCTTTCTTTGAGTCAAAAGAATTATGGTAGTAAGGTGACCTTCTCTCCAGCACTGCTGTATTTTCCAAATGGCCACTTTGTACAAAAGCACAGTTCCATTCACACCCAAACCCAAACAAGCAGGGAAAGTGAGACTGAGCCAAGGGGAAATGCTCCAACCACCACACAGAGCCAGCACAGAGCACTGCCCCCATCCCCTGCTGTCTTTAGTAGCAACTGAATAAATGAATAAATAAAAACAAAAGGCTGCCACCTTAAACACAAAACAAAGTCAAAGATAAATTAAATGCAGTCAAATACATGACAAACAAAACCAAAGTAACAGCCACCACAGCACAGCCTTCAGGAGTGAGGCTGAAAAGATGGACTGGCCCAAGGCCTGCACTGGGCCATGAGGAGAAGGCAAAGGCCCTGCCACTCCTCCTGAGCCCCTGGGCCATTCCTCACAGCACACAGTCACAGAAGGGCTCTTTGCTGTGCCAAGGCTGATGCCAACTCAGTGACCAAGGCTGGGCAGAGCAGTGCAAGGCTCAGCCCTGAGAGCAGCAGGGCTGGGTGGCACAGCTGGACTGGCCCAGGACATGCCAGCCCCCAGGCCTCAGTGACACAGGGACATTGTCAGGAGCTCCAGGAGAGCAGCCCAGGCCAGCCCCAGCCCTACAAGTGCTGAATAAATGTGAGGATGTGGCTCCTGAGTCATGATTTAGTGCTGAACAGGGGGGTGGTGGTTGAATTTGATGCTCTTAAACATCTTTTGCAACCTTAACAGTGCCATGATAACACTGATTGAGCAGCAAGGCAAGCACACTCCACCCCAAGGGAGAAAAGAAGCCAGACTGAACTCCCTGTAGTCTCCATGTGAGCAGCAAAAGGGAGCTCCCATCAGTCTCCTCCTGCCTCTGCCACTCCCAGCTGAGGCTCCTGAACTGCAGGGCTCAGTCTGGCTCTCCTCATGCTGGTCCTTTGTTTTAAAAAAAGACATGAAATTCACTCCAAGTGCTCTCATTGGAGAGCTGCTGATCTTTTTCAACATCTAGTGGATGGTTAAAATTAGTTTGAACTACTTCCTTTTCTGGAAACAGTGTTTCAGCAACAAATCAGAGTTTGAAACTGAGGTAAAAGCAAGGGACTAAGTTGCAAAACAGATGCAAAGCTGATCTTTAAATATTCTCTGACAAACCTACACCGTGGGAGCTGCAGTGTGGGACCGTGGGCACATCTCTCAAGCTGCCCCAGCAGGTTCATCAAACCCTGGGAGCTCCAGGCACTGCAGGAGGAGCTGCCCAGGAGGCAGCAGTGTCCTGGGGCATGAGGAAGAGCATTCCCAGCAAGGCAGGGTGATCCTGCCCCTCTGCTCAGCCCAGGTGAGGCACCGCTGCAGTGCCGGGCCCAGTTCTGCCCTCCACAGCTCAAGAAGGACCAGGAGCTACTGGAGAGGGTCCAGTGGAGGCCACAAGGATGATCTGGGGTCTGGAGCATCTCCCTGGTCAGGAGAGAGACTATGGGAGCTGGGTCTGCTCAGTCTGGAGAAAGAAAGGCTGAGAGGAGTCCCATCAATCCATAAAATACCCCCAGGGGTATCAGAGGATTGTGCCAGGCTCTGCTCAGTGGTGCCAGTGCCAGGATGAGGAGCAGCAGCCATGAACTAAACCACAACCACCTCCATCTCCACATGAGGAAGAACCTCTTCCCACAGAGAGGCAGAGCTCTGGAACAGCTGCCAGGACAGGCTGGATGTCCCTCTATGGCCACCCCCACAGCCCCTGGGCCACATTCCTGTGCCACCTGCTCTGGGGGACCCTGCCTTGGTGCTGCTGCACTGGGTGATCTCCAGAGGCCCTTCCAGCCCCAGGCATGCTGTGTGTCCTGTCCTGTCCGTGGGTCAGGCCTGCCACGAGGGCCCAGGGCAGCCCCTGCCCCCCAGAGCCCCTGTGCCATGCTGTGCCCAAAGGCAGCTCCAGGCTCTGGGCTGTGCCTCACCTTGTTTAGTGAGAGCCTCCCTCAGGGCTGGGGTGATCATCTCTCTCCTCTCAGCTCCAGCAGCTCCCTCCTGCAGCTCCTGCTCTCTCTGTTGGAAGAATCACAGGGAATTAGAGCCAGTTAGAGCCAGGCCTCACCTCAGGCACTGGGGCACAGCCACACACCTGCTGGACTGAACTGAGCCCAGTGCCACACAGCAATTCCTGTTCCCTCTAATCCTGCACCCCATCCTGTCACAGACATCTTCTCATAAAAATCCTTTCTTCAGGATTTTCCCTTCTGGGAAGCTGAGGCCCCAGAAAAAGAATGTAAACAATGGTTATCTGCTGCTGTGGAATGCAACAGGTGCATCTGGGATTGGCCCATGTTGGATGTGTACAACTAATGGCCAATCAAGGACCGAGCTCTCTCTGGGACAGAATCAGAGAGAGCTCCTTTGCTATTAATTTCCTTCTCTATTCTTAGCTTAGCAAGCTTCTGAGAACCTTTCCTTCTATTCTTTTCAGTACAGTCATAATGTAATATATATCATGAAATAATAAATCAAGCCTTCTGAACATGAGGTCAACATTCTCACCTCTCTCTTCATCCTGCAACCCTTGTGACCACTGTCACACCATCCCTCTGCCCAGCAGTAACTTAGGATGGCAAACTGGAACAGGAACACCCCCAGCACACCAGATTTGTCCCACTGACACAGCAAGAAAATTCCCAAGGATATTTCAACAACCAGGCTGTGAAATCTCATCCAAGAGTGACTCNGGAATGGCTCCCAGTGCCAGAGGGCAGGGATAGAGGGGACATTGGGAATTGGGAATTGCTCCCTGTGAGGGTGGGCAGGCCCTGGCACAGGGTGCCCAGAGCAGCTGGGGCTGCCCCTGGATCCCTGGCAGTGCCCAAGGCCAGGCTGGACACTGGGACAGTGGGAGGTGTCCCTGCCCTGTCCCCTTAAGGTCCCTTCCAGCCCAAACCACTCTGGGATTCTGTGACAGCCCGTCCCCAAAGCCACGTGCAGCCCTGGGGACACCCTCACCTCACACTGGCTCACACTCAGAGGAGGCTGGTGCAGGGTGCAGGGCACAGCCACACACACAGAGCTGCACGTGGCTGGGACCCAACACCTCCCTGCCCTGCTCTGTCCCGCCTGTTTCAGCAGCTTTCCTCTGCAAACAGCTTGTGCAGCAAGGTCTAATCTCAGCTGAGACCTCCCTGCTAAAATGTGTGTCCTTACAGGATTTGTGGATGAGAGCTGAAAAGGTGCTGCACTCCTGCCTCTGACACAGCTGTCCAAGGCACACTCTGCTGCTGTCACCCAGCATAGTCCAAGCCTTATTTTTCCCATTTCTCCAAATCCAGCACCACCAGTCATAGAAGATTATTCTCTCACAGATCACTTGTCAGTAACAGCAACATGGCTGCTTTCAAATGGGTTTTGCAGAAAAATTACATTGGAAATAGGACATGCCCACCCAGGTCTGCTACTGAGCTGTTTGAGGGAAGAGAGGAAGCAGCAGAACTGAGCAAGGTGCCAAGCTCCAGAGCTCCAGCATTTTCTCTTAGGCTCCTTAAATCAACTTCCACCATGTGGAGCACCCACAGCTCCTTTAAAAGCCAAGAAAATTGTACATATTCAACATCAAAACAGTCTTACAAACACCAGCCAGCTTTGGGGATGAGAGGGGGGTTACTCATCTCTGTCACTGCCAGCAGTCCCAGCTGTGGTGACAGGAGGGAGCAGCAGAGATGTGCAGAACCCTAAAGGCACAGAACTGGGGTCCCACAGAACCCTGTGGGAACTGGGAGAAGGTGTGGTCACCCAGCACTAGGTGCTGGCCATGCCAAGCTTCTGATACTTGGGAATGAGAGAAAATACCAGAGACCAAGGGTGGACACTTGTCCCACCCCTGCTGCCAGTGAGCAGAGACTCTACAGCACTGCAGAGACTTTTTCAGCACTGGCTGCACTGCTGGGAAGGAGGCAGCAGAGCAGTCTGGGCCAAAAGAAAGGACAAAAAATTGAGCAAGAAACTGGGAGTGTTCCAGAATCACAAAACTGTTCTGGCTGGGAAACCCCACTGAGACCACTGAGCCCAACTGTTCCCCCCACTGCCCCATGTCCCCAAGTGCCACATGCACAGAGCTGTTAAACCCCTCCAGGGGTGGGGACCTGGGCAGCCCCTGCCAGGACTGGACAATCCTTTCAGTGAGAAATTTCCCCCAAATCCCCCCTGAGCTGCCCTGGCCCAGCCTGAGGCCGTTCCCTCTGCTCCTGTCCCTGTTCCCTGGAGCACAGCCCGACCCCCCGGCTGTCCCCTCCTGTCAGGAGCTGTGCAGAGCCACAAGGGCCCCCTGAGCCTCCTTTGCTCCAGGCTGAGCCCCTGCCCAGCTCCCTCAGCCTCTCCTGGGGCTCCAGACCCTTTCCAGCTCCACTCCCTCCCTGGACACCTCCAGCCCCTCAATGTCCTCCCTGCAGTGAGGGCCCAAATGTGACCCCAGGACTGGGCTGTGACCTCAGCAGTGCCAGCACATGGGGACAGCACATCCCTATGTGCAAAGCTTCAAATTAAACATGTGAAAAACTGTTTAATTTAACTCAAAGCCAGCCTGAGGATGTCCAGCCCTGTTCCACACTGCAGCTCCTGCTGAGCCTTCTGCAAGCTCAGGCCAGCTCCACTCTTCCCTCAGCTTTCCCACAACGTCCCTGTGGCTCTGCCAAGGCCATCAGTGCTTGAGTCCAATCCTGCTGATGGCCCCAAGTCTGGAGCTGTGGGTGCCAGGAGCCCCTGTGGTCACATCCCCCCCTTGCTCCAAGGGCTGTGACTCGTGACCAATAACTCTAAGTGCACATTTGGATAGAGCACCTTGCAAACAATGCAGTGCTTGATGGACCTGCTGTTCCCCACCCCTGTGTACCTTCAGCTGAACAAACCCATCTATTTATTATTTCCACAGTCTAATATGCAAAGGATCCCTTCAATTATGAGCAGGCTCAGCTCCCACCTAAAGGACAAGAACATCTCATCTGAAGGCTGGCTGTGAGTTGATCCTGCTCTACATGATAAATTTTAGATGATCTAGAAGCTTGCCAAACTTCACTGAAATTAAGTGTCACTTTTATAGAAGTGAATTAAGCTTTTAAACAACCTTTGGGGTGAAGTGAGTGTTATCAGGCAGTAACACCAGGCTGAGGAACATGTGGTGATTGCTCACCCTGACAGGCCAACTGGAGTTTAATAGAGCACAGAGGGATGTGGAGCTGGAGGGATGGCCAAAGTCACAGCTCCTGATTGCTCCAGAGGCTGGGGCAGGACCGTGCTCAGCTCTTTGGAACCACACTGCAGCATTTCCACTCCATCCTGCAAATAAGAGTTTAAAAGCCTTTTCTCTGAAACTCAAAGAAGTCAGGGAGAGAGCCAGCTGAGCTCCCAGCACTGAGCCAGGACACTGCTGTCTGTATTGCTGGGGCACATTCCAGTATCCAGGGGCTCTGGATGTGCTTTGCCAGCTAACCAGTGCCAGACNGGGAAGGGAAGGGAAGGGAAGGGAAGGGAAGGGAAGGGAAGGGAAGCTGCTTCCACACACAGCCAACCCCAGGCACGAGCTCCAGACACTGGGATAAAGTCATGGGCAGGAGAAGCAAACCCTGGCACGTAACAAGTGGTGACTCCCCTGCTGTGTGAGTGTCACTGCTGAGACTTTATGGGTATTTATTGTCTCATGTCTGCACAAAGAAGCATCAAAGCAGAAATAATTACTTGGATATTTCATGCAACTTGTAATCTGTCAGTCCTTTATGGCTTTCATTGAAGGAGTTATGGATAAACAACAAAAACCAGCAGAGGACATTTTGTCTTGACAATACTGAGGCTATTTCACATCCAAGCCTCTTTTGTGCCAAAGCCATGGAAAAGTTAATGGAAATGCTTTCAGTTTGAGTCTCCTCACCAACTGTCAGCATCACTAAGGAAACCAGGGCTCCTGACTTGCCAAACTGCTCCTCACAAACAGGGAGAGGAGGCTGCCTGCTCCTGCTCATGAACAGACTGCTTCTGCACCTGAGCAACAGCTCACAAAATAAAAGGTGCCTCCAAAGAAAAACACATCTGAATATTAAAACCCACACACAGAGAAGTTCAAGGACAAAACAGAGCTCCTAATAAACACTTGAGAAGGAAATAGGAGAGTAAAACATTCAGGCACAGAGCTTATTACCTCCCCTACTCATTTTGGATCTAACTGCCCACAGCCTCAGGGATGTTGTTCAGAAATGTATTTTTCAACAACCAGTACAACATGGTCCTTTCTGAAGGAAAAAGCTGCATCCACCATCTACTTCCTTCCATTCAGCCTCCTGAGCCTTCAGGCAGGACTTCATTGGTTTCTGTAACACATCAAAACTCCCCTGGAAGCCTACATCTAATAATTAATTGCCATTTAGTGGGTTTTAAAGCTCATTTCTTGAGCCTTGATCTTAATTTATCAGCAAGACTCTTCAACAGTAAAATATTAATATTGCTGGGAAAGCTTCATGCATAAGGAAGGAAGGAGATAACAGATAAAAAACTTCATCTTCCAAGTGTTAAATAAAGAGCTTGTCCTGCCACAAGCCATCAATTAACCCAGGCCACAGGCAAGGCCCTGCCTTAGCACAGACTGAGACCTGGGCTAGAGGAAGGAAGGGGAGTGGAACCCAAGGAGCTTTAGGGTCCCTTCCCACCCAAACCACTCCCTGATGCTGTGATTTGGGAACCCCTCGAAGTCCTGAGCAGGATTTAAACATGGACACATCCTGGCCTGTGCTTCACCATCTCAGGAGAACCAAACCTCCACTATAGAGCACATCCTAATGTTAAAAATGCAGTCATTGAATTAATTACAAATGAGAGACCCCATCAAAGAAAGCCTCCAAACACAAAGTCCTTCTGCATGGAAAACATTTGCATTTCTACCTCCCTGCCACTGCAGCACCTCAACAGAACAACATCCAATTCCTCCCTGGCAAGGCAGAAATACAGTTCAATTATCATTTTCCCCTCACAGAGAGGATCACAATTCTCCTGCCCACACCCTGATGTGGAAGCCTGTACAC